AATTGTAAGACCATTTTCAGGTCAAAATATGAGTTACATCATTGGAGTAAAAATAGAGAAAATTGTTTAAATTATCGGAAAATGTGAAGAATTATAAAATAAATTTTATGATTTTGTTAAGTAATAATAATGAACAATTATCACTCATAATTTTTGTAATTTTAAATCTTTTAATATCAATATTACTGTACTGTTTTTATTTTATTTTGATATTTACATATTAATAGGTTTACTGTAGTGTTGCAATGGTGTCTATTATTGATGTCGTAAGTAATAGTTTCCTGTTTGTCCATTAATAGTTTAATATTATTTTTATGTACCTATCCAACAAATAAAATTTGAAGGATTATCAATAAAAAATAATTGAATTGAAAAAATTACTCATATTAATGACAAGATAACTAAACTACTCTGGTCATTAAATATAGGTTATTTAATTCCTAATAATATTTTTATCGAAAATAATTAAACAAAATATATATTATAATTCTACTGTGGAAAGGATAACTTACCTACCATAACATTGGATAGTTATTCTCCTAATATAATATTAGAACTTCTGACCCCTGACCTGAATCCATAGTGATTTTCCAAGATAGAATTCAGCAAATCAAATCTAGGCCACGCAATTTCTTCATTTGAAGTTTTAAAACAATGTCATCCGTACGATCAAATCGAATCTTTCTCTTCATCTTTTTCTTCCTCATCATATCAACCATTTCTCCCTCTCATTCCTTCTCTTTCTCTTCCTACTTCCTCTACCAAAACCTCTTCTCCCTCTCCCACACCCTCCTCATCAGCGTCTCTAACCTACGCGCCTCCCGCGGCGACGTCGCCGGCGCCGCGCGTGCCAAGGCCATCGCAGATAAGTTGGAGGATGGACCAGGGTTTGGATTCTGGAAGATTCTGTGGTCGGTGATATGGAATTGGAAGGATTTTTCTGTTATGGAACTGTACGACATCGTTTCAGATATGAACGAGTTGGTGAAGAATTTGAATGAGTTGAATCGCTTGAAATCGGTTGCGGAAAAGTCTATGTGGGTTACACGGAATTACGAAGAAGTACTCGATCTTTTCAAATCCCTCTCTCATAAGCTTCTTAAGGCCTTTGGCAATTCGGTATGTAACGACGTCGTTCCTTTTAAGTAGTTTTTTCACATGCTATTTGATTACGGACACTGATATAAAATTATTCTTTGAATTTTTTTATTAATTCATGTTTACAATTATCTAGAGACTATTTTGTAACATGTTATTAGTTTCAAGGACTTATTTGTTAGTAATTTGTTAGGGTTATAATTGAGAATTTAGTTCAACTATAGGGATTTATTTAAAGGTTATAAATTAAAAGTATAAATCTATTTAACTTTTTTAAACTATATGAATTTGTTTAAAAATTATAAAACGAGTGAAATCTTTAGACTAGTTTAACCTCATTGTGTTTTCATCTTTGTATTTTATGCATTTTTTGTTTCATGCACATTCCAAAACATAAGTAATTTTATTCATATACAAAGGTATTCTTATTATACAAACTTATTACTGATTATTAACCATAATTGTGTATGTATTTGTTTTTGTTAGAGAAAAGATGTATCCAATGACAGTGTTAAAAGTTTTTTTACATTGTCAGTATATCATTCAATATTCATAGTGAATGATTGTTCACTCTTAAATAAAAGTAATACAAATGAATAGTGAGTGACTCTGGATAAATCTTTAAGATGTATGTGCGGAGATATTACACACTTTGTTATTTAGATGAAAATAAATTATTTTTGACAAAAAAAGTTGAGACTTGAGAGTTTATATGTGTGTGCAATTGTAAGCTGTAACCTGTTATTGTATGTGTAGTTATTTTGTTAGGAATATTTGCTTAACATTATGAATATTGATAGCTTTCATCATATGGAATGGCAGGAAGTAGTGAGGGAAGTGGTGGAGACAGTCCAAATAGAGGTTGTGGAAGGTGGGTTACTCAGAGATTGCCTTGAATTAGGTAGCAATGATCTAAAGGCTTTAATTCAGGTTGCACAGAATTTGGTATTGCAATTCTTCCCCAATTCTAATAAAGACCCTGAACTATAAGTAGTATAATGAGTAAATGTATGGGTATTTGGCCACTAATATTTTTAAGGATATTTGAACACTTGATACTTTGACAGTTACTCTCAGCATATACATGTGTTTATTTTGATTTTCATGCATCATAGCTATAATATTTAATTTTGACACCCTTTAGTATACTTTTTTACATAATCATTCAATTATACACTGTTAGGTAATTAAAAAATTACTAACTGTAACTAACTCCTTTAAAAGTCGTAATGGAGGTAGAAATATGTTTTGTATCTGCTCAAGCTAGAAAAAGGTATTCACAATGTTTTAAACTGTGATTGCGCAATTGGTTCTGGTTACGTTGTGTTTACCGTAATTGTGGGAAAATGCCATTGCAATTGCGGTTGCGATGTCATTACAGAGATTCAGAAACCACAATGTGCAACCAAACAATGCTAAGGTATTGTTTCTGGTGCTTTATTCTACTTTAAAGGATAAAGGAATAGTGTCCGCCCATGTGGTCGAGAGATCATGTGATGGGTGGACATGGAAGTTTTCCTATGTTTTCATGGGAAGCTAATCTTTTCTTTCAGTTTCAAACTTCATGGCATCCATGTTGATCTTTCCAAGGATTACGAGTGGAGATGATTTCAAGTTAACTCAGGGTTTACTCTGCCAAATCTGAATATTTGTATTGAAAAAATAATTTTGAAGAGGCTTTTCTTTGGTTGATGGTTCTAGCACTAGCTTTAGGCACATCTGCTAGGTTCTTATTTAGACTAAGGTGCTGCCTTTGTCTTGACCATTGATTTTAGATATAGCTCAGTCAAAACTAAATTTTCAACGAAAATGTTAGACATTGGGTTGCTATGTTTATTGTTTGGCATCTGATGAGGATTTCAGACATTTAATTTGTTACTTAGATCTTGGTTCATACTTGCAATTTGGATGAATGTCTATTCATTTTTTTGGCGTTTCAGTGATATTGTTAGCTTCTTTGTGCATGGTAAAACTAAGGGTAAAAGGGTCGATTAATTGTGTTGCATTTTGTGGGTTGGTCCCTTTGGATGAAGAGATAAGGTTATGTGAATCTTTTTGAGGAAATAAGGAGTGGGATGTATCTGTTATTCATTGGAGATAAGGGTTGGGGGCTTGATTACTATCTAGAATAACAAAGCACTTAATATGTTAGATTTCCTTTCATGGTTTTAGATTCATATTACTATGTGCTGAATGGGCGTGCTCAAAAAATTAAGAGCTATATACATCGTCAATGTTTTTTCTCTATAATATCATAGGGTTAAAATATTCATGTGGGTAGATCAAAGCAGTGAAATAAGAACTTGAATCAACAAAATTGCTTATCAAAAGTTTTTAAGATATATAAATGACACTAAATTCACTTACATTGCGTTATTCCATTTACAAAAATATCCTAAATAACTATTTAGGATATTATTAAACGAAATAATATGTAAAATATTTATTTTAAAAATTATAATTAAATTATATTATGTAAATTATTTTAGAGATTATTAAATTTAGCAAAGATGAAGAGCAATATCCAAAAACAAAGAAAATAGTCAAATTTAATATATTGTTAATTTCTTTGCATGGAAAAGTTGGCAAGTAAATAAGACCATGCATTAAAAGGGAGCAAATGACATTGGTTTACATACAATGTCTCTAATTTGAATATGAAAGATGCTTTATTAACTGTTTTTTATTATCAATTATATGGTTCATGTATTATTTTGAGATACTAGACCTATTAAACCATAAATAAGTACTTATCCTCCTTACACAATTGTATGAGGTTGAAAAGTGTAAAAACACATACAATCATCAATCTATAAGGTGAACAAGCATAAATATCTATTAGTCTTGTTGATCTCGGAAACAAAGGCAACAATCATATACCTATTCCTACTTTAAGATTTAAGCCTTAGTTTCTCAAATATCAATTACCCCTTCTGTAACATATGTTATATTTCGTTAAGTATGGACTAGTGCATTGGAATTTGAAAGCTCATAGATTGTAGTGATATTCTGATGATGATGAGATGGAAATTTGGAATCATGAAGAAGAGTTTAGCTTGCCTGAGTTTCTTTAACAAGGAAGAATCTTAGATAACAAATGTTTGGGCATTATACATTTTTATTTGAACAATGGTTCACTTTATGATGTGTAAACTCATTTACTTCATTCTTCTATTCTCTTTTGAGAGAGATTAATGATATTCTGTTTGGGAAGATAAATTTTCGATTTTTACCCTTTTGATTTTATTAGGCATTTTGTAACTTTAACCTTTTCCATTTCATCAGTTGTATTGTGGCATAGTAACATCCTAACATTTTTTAATGATTTAAATTTTAACTTAATTTTAATTAAAGTTTTATTTTAAATGATCAAAATAATCTGGATCACACATTCGAACGACTGTACAGTACAAGAGAATGTCAATTCCATAAGTTAGCATTAAGAGAAGTGTTAGACTGAATTTCTAATGTTCACCTATTGAAGTGATATGGGTATGAGTGCTGCAATATACCAACTTTCATTGATTAAACAACGTAAGAAGTTACAAACAAAAAAAAGAATATAAAGAAATATGAATATACCAAGAGTAGTTGAACGAGAATCCTTCGTTGAGCACTTGCTGAGTGAAGAATCTGAAAAGGTTAAAATTCTTGCTCAACAAGATTAAGAGTCGCTAACCGTGGATCCTTTGCTGAGCGAAACCAAAATCCGGACTTGCTGCAAAGAAATCGCTGAGCAAGCTTGCATCCGCTGAGTAGGGGTGAGCATGGGCTGGCTAGGTTGGGTTGGGTAATTTTTTAAACTCATACCTGATCCTAGACTTAAAACTAACTCGACCCAAACATGTCATTGTACACAATTAAATAAAGACACATACAAAAATGATGAGTTGATGAACATGGTACGAGATCAGGTCAGATCATGTCTGTCCCTTGTCCGACTCTAAATATTGGTCGGATCTAATTTTTGAGTCCAAACTCGATACTAGACCCGATCTTTTTTGGACCCAATTGTCGGACCAAATTGAGTGAGCAATAAGTAAGGTCGGATCCTAATCACCCATGCTGCTTAGACCTGTTCTTGTAATATCATTATGATAGATATTTACTCAATCCTAATCATATAATTCATGGGATTCTTGATCACATCCTTCGATGTCGACCTGGATCATGGCCAGAAGACTAAATTGTAAGTGAATGCAATGTGTAAAACCTAACACCGACGCAAATTTCAACGACAACTTGCACAGAAGTTAGCTAGGTTGGATAAAGAGTGATGAGGACCATGACCTTTTTGCTTTAAATGCATAATCGTTTATTGCTCTATGCTAAGCTTATTACTCAAATTATAGTCAGAAATGTTAAACTTTCCTACCCACTAACATTTATGATTAGTTGACAATTTCCTTATCTTCTTGGGGACCAGACCATATTATTTACTATTTTATTATTTCTTTCATTGTTTGATTCAAAGACAGTTATTAAAATATTCCCACCATTTCTGAATAAACGTGGTTTTAAGAGAAAAAATGTTCTTATGTATTTACTAGCTATCACTTTAGAAAACGTGAATGTGTTAATGATTATGTTAACAATTCTATTTTTTTTTCAACAAAAAGAAGATTTTATTATAGAAAAAGAAGTGTACAAAAAGAACAAGAGGATATAAAGAAGCAAATTTACAAATTTAAGATAAGACGAGCAATATGGTTAGAAAGCCACTCATAGTAAATAATGGACTTCATCCCCTAATACCTTTAATCCAAAGCCAAATATTCCCCCTAACTGAGTCCAAGAGATGAAGACTAGAAAGTTAAATGTAATTATTAATAGTTGATAAGAAAAATAATGAATGACATTAGTTATTAGTTATTATGAAGAATTAGCAGACAAATTAGAAAAATACTATATAAATTTAATATAAAAAGATATTGATTATGTTTCTTCATCTAATGATATAATAACTTTTACTTTTATATTTAAGGGACAACACAATTTTTTTTTATCTAGATCATAAATATATTCATGGAAACAATAACGTTCATACTTGATTTGTTGATAATTTAGCTATTCTTCATGTTTGCTAAAGGTTCAAATACTGCAAAATATGTGTTGGCCAAGACCAAGGAGGAGTTTGATAAATTAGGGTTTTTCTTAACCCTATAATGTTCATACTTCGACCTATTTGGTTGATATAGAAATTTATATAGGTGAGATTCTGTCTAAGTAACCTCTATATAGACAATTATCATGTCCAAAGTTTTATAATAGTGGTTGACTGTTTTCATACGAAGAAAAAACATTTTCCCCATAATATATGCCCAAAAAATTTAGAATTGTTTCTGAGAATAAATCCGTTTTATAAGCTTGTAATAAAGCACAAAATAATTTTTGATTTTAAACAAATTATTCTAAACAAAAGAACCGTACACATGAGTTTTCTCCACACACAAAGATAGTAGATTCTCTCTACTTTAAAAAAAACAATTCTATTAAAGGCTACAAATCAGATTCTCTTTATATCCATTTTTTTTAAGAATTGATAGTATGGAAGGCAAACCAAACATATATCAAAAATTTTGATTCAAAATCACTATACAAATTAAAACCGTCTTATAAGCTTGTTGCTTAACACAAACAGTTTCTTTTCTTTTTTATTTTATCAATAGCAAAATAATTTTTGATCTTGTAATATATTTTTCCTGGGAAGCCTAAATTAAATAAACAAATCATAAATCATTTTTTCCTTAAAAATGACTTTAGAAGCCTCTTAAATTTAATTTTTCAATTGAACTATTTTTTGCCTTATTTGTTAGGATAAATTCATTAAAGCGTTCTATTTAAAATTAAGTTGACAAAATAGATTAATACAAAAAAATGATTTATTACTACCGACCAAAGATCAGACATCTCACGAGAACTTATTATGCGATCTAATCAATCAGACAATACCAGGAGATACGTGGTTGATCAGACACCATCATAAGGACTAGTACTGGGAACATGTCACTGTCATCCACCTGTCACACTACCAATACAAGAATGTCACGCCACCTACAACAAACATTTGTTGCATGCCACCTATAATTCTCACCTAATTCTCTGTCGTACGACAATGACATGTCTAGGTTACGACTATTGAACTTATTACAGACTATAAGTCAACTACTCACAAAATACGACCTCCCTAGAGCCGTCTGACACGGTAAAAGCAGCCCCCTAACTGGAATTTGTCCAAGGCAAGCCGGCAAGCCCAAATGTTCGGCTATGCCAACAACATCTACCAAATAATATTTCATGCACCATTCCACTATAAATAGGGGACTCATCCTATAAGGAAGTGTTAATATTCTCATATCTTGAACCTTTACTATTTGCTATTATTCTCTTTAACCTCTCACCTCATTAATATACTCACTCGATCATCGAAGCACATTTTCAAGTACCTCAACTAATTCAGACTCAGCTCAGACAACGTCAGGAAAATCTCTTGCCCGACTACTACCCGACCCACCTATTGACGCCACACTAAAGAGTAGAGGTGTCAAAACGGGCTACCCGAGCGGGTTCGGGCTAAACCGGGCCGGGCTAAAAAGCACGAATACAATTTATGTATATCAAAATATAGCCCAAGCCCGCCCTATGTGGTTGCGGGTTGTGGCGGGCCGACCCGCATAATATTAAAAAATTTATTTAAATTTTAACATATTTAATATATATATATATATATCATTTGATATTAATGCGTAAATTTTTTAACACAATTGTTATACTCAATGCAACCAAACTTATAGATATAATGTTATGTGTTTGAGCTAAGACATGATGTTAAGTCTACAGATATGATTCATAACATAACTTATTCATTAAATATTTTATTTATATTAGACTCTCAATCTCTAACACAATATAATTTTAAACTTCACTTCAATATAATAAATGGATACAGTAAAAAATAATATCACTTTGGTTTATAGTAATGATAGTATAGACTCAAATTCAGAATGAATTCTATGTGTCGAAGTATAATTATCATCATAATATTTCTTTACTTTGTGTATGGATATCTTTTGTATACTCTTTATCAACACTTTTATTGTGAACTGTTATGTTAAATTTGGTTATGTTGAGTTCTCTACGGTAAACAATTAAGTTGTTTTTCAGTTTCGTTGTAAAAATTATTTTCTTTATTATGTTTTTGTTGTAGAAGTTAAATCTAATTAAATATACAATTAAAAAAAGAAAAATAGAATCTATTTGGTTTAATGTTCTCATTTAATTTGAAACACTATTTTGCTAATGTTCTTAAAAGGATATTAAGCAAAATAGGAAAAATAATATAATTATTAACTTAATAACATTACTGTAATTTATAAATATTTATGTTATAGACATTACTCTATTTTTTATTCAAAGTTCATTACACAATATTTAGTATATATTATCTATTTTTTTATTGTAAAATAATTTTCATCTTAAGCTTATTACCTAGCCAAAAAGTCCCAAAAAAAGTTTTAAAATAAAAGAAAACGGGTAGCCCGAACCCGCCCGGGTAAGCCCGGCCCGAGCCGGTTTTAATATAGCCCGGTCGGGCTAAAAAGCCCGGATTCACTAAAAAGTGCCAAATTTAATACTCAAACCCTACAAAATTTTGGGTTGTGGCGGGCCGGCCCGCACGGGCCCGCCCATTTTGACACCTCTACTAAATAGCACAAACAAATTATATATGATGTATTTACATACATCTTTACAAAAGAGCTTACATATTCCACACTTCATGAAAAAAGTTCAATATCTTTTATGATTTTAATATGTATCTACCTAAACCAAAGTTTTGTAAATTGTCAATTCATAATATGATAGATCATGACCCGTTTAGTCATGTTTTATTTAGAAAGGAGAAAAGAAAGAGAAAAAAACCCAAAACCTAATCCAAAAATAGAAGACATACGTAGTGGCGGTGATAAAATTGGAATGCTACAAAGCTAAGGGTACCTTATAATTCAATTTCACACTAAGCCCGCGTGAAATTAATGCTCCTAACAAAATACTCCAAAGTCCCAACCGTAAAAGCTATGAACTATAAAGCACTACCTATATCTTCCTTTTCACTTCTATAAATATAGTACTACAAAAACATGAGATTCCACATTCACTCATAGACACAAATACAACCATTACTAGCCACCATTTGTTGCTTCATTTCTTGCTACAACAATGGCATTAGAAAAACTCAATATAGTGGCACTAGTGGTAATTATTGGTTTGTGGAGTGGGTTTGGAGTTTCACAACAAGTACCTTGCTACTTTATTTTTGGTGACTCTTTGGTGGATGATGGCAACAACAACCAACTCAATTCTCTAGCCAAAGCTAATTATTTGCCTTATGGGATTGACTTCAATGGTGGCCCAACTGGAAGGTTTTCTAATGGGAAAACCACTGTTGATGTAATTGGTAAGCTTCCTTCTAAATCGGTTTTCCGTCTTTTAAGTAGACCGGTAGAAGTTTTAATAAGACGATGAGAGTAGAATAAATAGATATTAGTGTAGTTCTTAATTAATAGTTTGTTAATGAACATAATTTATAATAAAACATTATGATGTCTTATTATAATTTTCCGTCTTTTAAGTAGACCGGTAGAAGTCTTAATAAGGCGATGAGAATAGAATAAATAGATATTAGTGTAGTTCTTAATTAATAGTTTGTTAATGATCATAATTTATAATAAAACATTATGATATTGTCTAATTCATATAATCGATTTCATATATTGATTAATTAAACATGTGTTAATGTTGCAGTAAAAATAATCATTTTTTTTTATTTTTTTTATTTTCTTTTAAAATTAAATAATACATAATGTTTATCAACAACAGTATTTTTATTATTTATAACGATCAATCTTTTTCACTTCCAAATTTAGTTATTTGCCCGTTTTGGACTTTATAGCTGGTGGTATTGAAAGTCCTGTGGAAAGATTATAAAAATGAATAACATTTAAATACAACAATAGCTTCACTTCTATGTTCCGGTAAACATCATTATCATTGTCATAATCATAAGGTGATAATGATATAAATCTACTAATAAAATACAGTCCTCACCTTTTATGCTATTGTGTAAGATTTAACTTGGCTTACATTATTTTTGTATTTTACCATCTATTCTTCTCCCATTTCTACAACCAACTGCATAGTTAGAGAATAAGGATTCTCTAGTATTAGATATTGAAGTTCTTATTTTGGTTTTTGCCTTCAATAAAAAAAT